CACGGGATGAATTCGCCGTCCGGTCCTTGTATGTTCGCCTCGGACCTAATCCGGAGAAGTATGGTTTTGCCCACGTTCAGGTCCAAACCAAAAGTCCTCCCAATCCGGACGACTGCGTTCAAATGCTCCTGGAGGTACTCTGGCTTTTCTGCCACCAACATTGTGTCGTCGGCGTACAGCACGTCCAGAGTGATTCAATACGGTTTCGTGTTACTTTCCCCGGTGTGTCCAATCATTTCCTGATCGACTATTTGCAGTAATACTGACATAACTATGATAAACAAGTACGGCGACAAAGGACAGCCTTGCGCTATTCCCGCTGCTTGCGTTCTGCTGGATGTCGTAGAATCTCCATGTTTCACAACAAATGTTCGAGCCCTGTGTATACCTGCAACCATCTGGAGCATTGCTGGTGGCACTCGAAAAAGTCGTAGTGCGTGAAGAAGTCCTTCTGGTCGAATGCGGTCGAATGCTTTGCTCCAGTCTAGAAGTAAAAGAAACAGCGTGCCGTCCTTATCCTCCAATGCGGCATCGATGAGCCGTCGCACCAAGAAGAGCGCGTTATTCGTACCGCGTTTGGGTCTGAATCCGTATTGTGATTCCCGTAGTTGTTCTTCAGCGCCCCCCTGTGTGAACCTCCGTAAGAGTATGCTGGCCAATACTTTATAGCCCACTGCCAGTAAGGAAATCGGCCTATGATTGGACGGCTGGGATGTGTCGCCCTTCTTGAACCCACGAAACAGGAACCCACGAAAGCGGCGACTTTTTCGCAGATCGCAACCCCCCAGGGACGGCGAAGTCTCGTGGCGATATGCGTGGGACACCCCTCCGCTGGACCTCCCAGGAACCGACGAAATTGGCGACAGTTCGCAGATCGCAGCCCCCCAGGGGAGGCGAGGTCTCGTGGTGGTCTCCGTGGGTCACCCCTGCGCTAGACCTCCCAGGAGCCATCGAAAGTTGCAACAGTTTCGCAGATCGCAACCCCCCAGAAACGGCGAGGTCTCGTGGTGATCTGCATGGGACCCCCCTCCGCTGGACCCCCCAGGAGCCCTCGAAAGGGGCGACAGTTACGCAGGTCGCAGCCCACCCAGGGACGGCGAGGTTTTGCGGTGATCTGCGTGGGACACCCCTCCGCTGGACCTTGCAGGTGCCCATGATACTGGCGACAGTCTCGCATATCGGAGCCCCCCAAGGACGGCGAGGTCTCGTGGTGATTTGCGCGGAACCCCCCCGCTGGACCTCCCAAGGGCCCGCGAAACTAGCAACAGTTTCGCAGATCGCAGCCCCCCCAGAGACGGCGAGGTCTCGTGGTGATCTGCGTGGGATACCCCTCCGCTGGACCCCCACGGGCCTACGACAGTGGCGACAGTTACGCAGATCGCAGCCCTCCAGAGACGTCGAGGTCTCGTGGTGATCTGCGTGGGACGCCCCTCCACTGGACCTCCCAAGGGCCCGCGAAACTAGCAACAGTTTCGCAGATCGCAGCCCCCCCAGAGACGGCGAGGTCTCGTGGTGATCTGCGTGGGATACCCCTCCGCTGGACCCCCACGGGCCTACGACAGTGGCGACAGTTACGCAGATCGCAGCCCTCCAGAGACGTCGAGGTCTCGTGGTGATCTGCGTGGGACGCCCAACCACTGGACCTCCCAGGAGCCCACGAAAGTGGCGACAGTTACGAAAGTGGCGACAGTTACGCAGGTCGCAGCCACCCAGGGACGGCGAGGTTTTTTAGTGGTCCCCGTGGGACACCCCTCCGCTGGACCTCGCAGGTGCCCATGAAAATGGCGACAGCATCGCAGCTCGCAACTCCCCAGGGAAGGCGAGGTCTCGTGGTGATCTGCGTGGGACACCCCTTTGGCGAGTGCGTGCACCCAACATCTGATTTCACCCTTCGCGTCTCGTGACTGGAATTCGGGGTATATTCCAGCCTTGTGCCATGCACTGCACTGTGAGGCGGCTCATTGTTTGGTGTTGTGTGATGCTCGATTATATGAATGGTCGTTTGGCTCATGGGGAAATGCACCCACAACGCTTTAATTCTTCGTCGTCCTCCTCCTCTCCTCCTCTCCTCCTCACTTCTTCCTCTCCCTTTGGCTGTCCTTGCTCATTTTAAACGAGGGATTCCAGAGCCTGGCCCAGTGTCGGTGCTGTCACGTCTCACCTCTGTTTTGTTGGTGGTGCTTCCGTGGGGTATCCCGGTTACCCACTTTGAGGACACGCGAGTTCTTTCGATCATCTTCTTCAGTTTGCCACTTGCCGCATTCGAGTTTTGCCGCTATAGAGCCTCGCTGCCGTACGTGACCGATGGGAGTTGTTATAGCGCCCTTGAGGGGAAGCGGATTGATGACTACGGTATCGGAGCAGATTCTGAAACTGGTGGGTGTTTGCGGCAGGAAGAAACATATTTGCGTGGGACACCCCTCCGCTGGACCTCCCAAGGGCCCGCGAAAGTGACGACAGTTTCGCAGATCGCAGCCCCCCAGGGACGGCGAGGTCTCGTGGTGATGCGTGGGACACCCCTCCGCTGGACCTCCCAGGGGGCCCACGAATGTGGCGACAATGTTGCAGATCGCAGCCCCCCAAGGACGGCGAGGTCTCGTGGTGATCTGCGTGGAACACCTTTCCGCTGGACCTCCCAGGAGCCATCGAAAGTGGCGACAGCCTCGCATATCGCAGACGTCCAGGGGCGACGTCCATATCGCATATCGCGGCGTGGTCTCTTGGTGGTCCCTGTGGGACACCCCTCCGCTGGACCTCCCAGGAACCCACGAAAGCGGCGACTGTTTCGCAGATCGCACCCCCCCAGGGACGGCAAGATTACGAGGCAGGGAGGGAGAGGAAGCAAACGAGGAGGAGGAGAATGGAGGGAGGAAGGAAGAGGGGGAGGAGAAGGAGAGGTGGATACCACTGTGCTCTATTCAAGACGAGAACCCAACGCAGGAGGATTGGGACAAGTTTTTAACAGCAAAGCTCCCAAGAACGAGCGGCAACACAAAAGTCTCTGAACACCAGGGCTTTCACCCTGTAGTGTGGACTTGTTTGGGAAACCAAGCATTATCCCCGTGTGTCCCCGCAAATCTTTCCTAAACCTTTGTAAAGTTGCATACGTACACATCGGTCAGGCTCCGGCCGCACCGCCGAAACGAGCGGGTGGTGCATCCCTTCGTGGAGGGCAGTTCCAGAGGTTTTGAGCAGTTGAATCACGTCTTGCTGCCCTTCAAGTTCCAATGCTAGCAACCGTTTGACGTATCCGACTGTCTTTCCCGCGTCTGATGTTAGGCAGCGCTCGACCAGACCAACGATGTAATCGGGAAGCGTTCCAAATAGAATATGGGATCCAGCCGCAGACTAGAGGTATCCTCTGCTTCCGAAGTTGCACAAATCATCGTGAGCCAACACAGCTGCGGGCCAGCACCCCAGGAGGAGGGGAGAAAGAGGAGGAGGAGGACGAGCAAGAGGAGGACGATGAGGAGGAGGACGAGGAGGAGAACGAGGAGGAGGAGGAGGACCAGTGTAAACCCAAGAGCCATCAACGAGGTTGGAATAAATCCTCCCTGCAGACTCAGTTCTTTTGGTTTGTCATAGGCCTCTACAACGGTTCATTTTCATTGAGGGGACCGCCTCGTTGGTAGACAACCGTTCGAAGACCTTGAAGCATGCCAAAACATGGTTCTCGGGATCCCAACGCCACGGATCAACCTGACTGCTGCGTTTTGACGATCCTGCATCGCGCCAGAATGCCATCCCTGGGGCTTCAACGCCGCGAACCAACGTAACTGTTGCACCCGCATAATCATGAATCCTTCCAAACGTCATTTTCTGGTACGTTGACCTTGGGGATCCGTGAAACTCTTGCAAATGTTATAAACGAATGCGCGCGGCTCTATGGCGAGAGCCACATTTTGAAAAGGAGCCGCCTTCAATTCGTGAAACTTCTGCAAGTGTTTGAAACGAATGTGCGCGGCGCTAAGGCGAGAGCCTTATTTTGAAAACGACTCGCCTTCAATCCGCGAAACTATGAATCGAATGTGCGCGGCGCGAGAGTCACATTTTGAAAACGACCCGCCCTCCATCTGCGAAGCTGTTGCCAATTTTGAAGCCTCCAGGTCACATGTGGTGAGGACATGTCAGGCGACACGCCCGGCCAGCGCTGAAAAGTAATGGAGGAGGAGCAACAGGAGGCGGATGAGGAGGGAGGAGGTGGAGGAGGACGTGGGGGGAGGCAGGGGGATGATGAGGACCCCTGCCCGCTACCACACGGGGGATCGAGGAAGAGCATGAAGGACGGAAGTCGTACGCTCTCGCGATTATGTGTTGACTTCCGCGGTTGATTCCATCGGCTCTTCGCGTCCTTTGTCTCGCGAGGCGCGTTTGTGCTGGTTACGGTGCGCAGGCCAGCGCGGGCGACGAGTCGGTTGCGCTCGCAAGGCTGTGCGTTCATCGTTTGGGAATGTTCCCCACCGCTGCCACGAGCTGTTGGAATGGTTCCGTAGGTTTAGACGCTGCGACCCTCTGTTCAATAGCAGGGCCCAAAGCAGCTCTTTACAACGGTCGGATTATCCGTCATCGTTGCCGTGGCCGCAGAGGTCTGGACTCTCTGGCCTTGGGCCAGCACGGCGGCCCTTCAGGAGAAAGCGGAGCAGGAAAACAAGGATGAGTGGGGAAGGAAGATGTGGATGAGGGCGAGGACCATGAACCCAGGGTGCATCAGCAATATTGCCATGCCTCCCGCCCAATCTTTGCCTAGCAGAAAGTGCCAACAATCGGATCCCCACCGAAAGAAGAGAGCACCATCAGGTCATAGGCTGGCCATTCAAATGGGAGCCCCGCGCCGAAAAGGACGGTCGGAGGAAGCTCCCATCCAGTGCCAGAAAATTCTCCAACGCCCGATGGAGAATCGTAGCCATTTTGGCTCAAGCAATCCGGGGTCAAGCAATCCGGGGTCGCAGAGCAATCATCAATCTACGCATCCGGTCTGTGGAAGTTACAGGCTGCTCAACATGGAAAAAGGCGGGAAGACGAAGGCCGAGTCGAACACTGCCTCGACGCCCAAGGACAAAGGGTTGAAGGTGGACGAGGGTAAGGAAGAGGAAGCAGATGATCTACGTATGGAGGAGGCGGAGGAAGAGGAGGAGATGGACATGAAGGGGATGATGAAAAAGATGATGGGCATGATGAAGGGAAGGGCATCAAGAACGGTATGAAGGTCACGAAGAGGGGGGCGGAGGAGGCGAAGACCATCGCACGGCAAGCAAGGACTTCTGCAGCCCTGGCCGAGGAAGCGGTGGAGGTGGTGAAGACCACGGTGAATGAAGTAAAGGAATCAAACAAAGATCTGAGGAAGGACATCGAGGAAATCAGGGTCAGCATCAAGAGCACTACGGGATCTCCCAGCAGCAGTGCATGGCAACGACCAGGACAACAAGATCTCGCAGAATCCGAGCAGCGTGCGAAACAAGTAATCGCTGTTGGCTTTGAGGAGCGCATGGCAGCCAGCAAGATCGCGACGGAGCTGGAGGACATGGTCACCAGGCTCACGGGAAAGGACCACGGCATCACAATATCTTCTCCAATGGATCCTTCAAATATTGGTCTCCTATCCTTCGAATCGGTGCCGAAGAAGGTGGACTTCTATAAGAAGATCCGGGACACCCCGAAAGTAAATGATATTTGTGGAGATGTACTTTTTCGTAACAATGTATCAAAACATGAACAAGAAAAAGAGAAGAGACTAGGTTATACTAAATACCATCTCTCCGAACAGTTTTTTGTTTTGCTATAATCTGGCCAAAGAGCATGGTGGTCATCAAAGACGAGTCGGGGAAGGAAAAGAAGGTGGCGTGGTACGGCGAGAAGGGGAATTTTTGCATATCACCATCTGCAAGATCAGCGCAAGCAGACGCGAATACATCAATGGAGAAATGGTTGAAGAAACGATCGCCCGACCCGGACACCGAGGGCGAGTGACCACTCGCAAGAGGGCGGCAGGAAGCACAGGGAAGAGGCAAAGGAGGAGGAGGAGGACAGGCACCCGTTCAAGCACTACCCCATGAAGGCCGCATTGTTTGTACATCGAGAGGAGGAGGGAGAGGAGCTGATCACGTCATTCATGGAGATGTTCCTAGTGGCGTGCATGGTCAAGCTGATCATTCCAAGGATTATGCGCCCATGACCCGAACAGATTCTATTATGTCAGTGCGCGGTGGTATGGTTCACTCTTCCACCGTTTCTGGCGGCGTGCCGTTACCGTCAATTGGACAGACAATTCAGCAGTCCAGCGAGAACGAAACGGAGCAGGACAACCACGAGATGACAGTGTATCCTCAAAAACGCGCGTGGTCTTTCAAATGATGATCGCATCGAGGAGCTCATCCATGAGGCATCTCAAACAGAGTCGGACATCATCCTCAGAAACGGGACTCGGAGGGGGGAGCTTCGAGGATACATCCAACTACGGGAAGGAAACATATTCGCAGCATCTGGCGGTATGTTTGGCAGCCGCGGGGCGGCCATTCTTATTCGCAAGCGTCGGCAAAAACAAATGCAAGCATTTTCTGCAATTTCTGCGCGCGCTGCATTTGTCGACCTCGTCCGCGGGAGGCTGAGGATGAGACTCGTCGCCGCTTGCTTTCCGCGCTCCGGGTATTCCGACGCGCGCGCGCAGGAGTTATATCCCACATTGAAAGAATTATGTTCGGATGCAGTTCAAAAGAAGCTGAAGTGTTTTATCGGCGCGGATTTCAACGCACAAGTGGGCAGTTGGACAGAGGGAGGCGACGCCAGAAAGATTGGGCGCCATGGGCATGGCATTTTGAACTCCAGAGGTGAATTGTTGAAGTCTTGGGCGACGCGCGAAAACATGACAGCTGCCAACGCCTACTTCCCAAAGAAACCAGAACAGCGCATTGAATTTCGTAGCTCGGCTGGGAATGAGAAGCAGTGTGACTATATATTAGTGGGCCGGCGGGCATGGCGGCAAGTTACAAACGCAGACGCTCAATCATGCATCGATTTGGGTTCTGACCACAGGGCCGCCCGCGCGACGATTACATTCGAGATGCGACAGAGGAGGCAGCATCTGACAAAAAAGGCGGAATACATGCATCCAGTGGAAAAGTGTTGATTCAACGAAGTTCAAACACGAGCTAGACGCCAATTGAAGAATCTCTTTTGACTGCGGCGTCGAAGGCAGATGTTGCAAAGGCCCCACAAACCGCTGATACTCGACCAACGAGCCCTATGCTTCAACATCTTCTTGAGCATCGCAGTCGTCTTCGACGTGATTCTGGCGAGCGGGCCAACTTGAGCAAGAAGATCAAAAGGGAAATTCGACGATTTAACCGGCTCGAATGCGAGGGGCGGGTTGCGGAGATAGTACGGTCAGGCGAAAGATTTGGAAGCATGACAGTACGCACGCGCAAACTGATGATTTCCATGGTGGGCCCCAAGGGCACGGAGCACGTGGACAGACAATCCGTAGCCGATGTATTTGCAGATTTCTACTTTGAGTTCTGCGCGTCCGAGATGCCCGCGCATCCAAGTGAAGAGGCACCGCAAGCAGACGACGAGGACATCGAGCCGTTCACAAAAAGATGAACTAGCTGGTGCACCTCGACACTTGCGCCGCGGAAGGTGCAAAGACACTTCAGGTGCTGTTGCTGCGATGATCGAAGACGGTGTCGGCGCGCCAGTGCAAGCTATCCTGGAGCTGTTCAAGTTTATTTTGGCTAGCCCGGTAATGGCGCCAGAAAAATGGATGGCATCTGCGGCATCGGCGATCTTCAAATCAGGCGACCCAAAACTTCCCAGCAACTACAGGCCCATCATTACTAGTCCAATCTTATACAAACTATTCGCCCGAATGCTTTCTCAGAGACTCGAGCCATTACTAGTCAAAGAGCAAGCAAAGGATCAAGCTGGTTTTCGTCGTGGGTTCAGCACGGTGGATCATCTACGGGTGTCTTCGATACTACAAGAAGCGGCTTGGGAGTGGAGTCGAAGCACGTGGTTCGCAGCACTGGACTTCAAAAAGGCCTTCGATAGAGTTGAACACACAGCAATTTGGACTGCATTGAAAAGGCAGGGGGTTCGGGCTGGATACATCCGTCTAGTATCGTACATGTGCACAAGACAATCCGCCCGAGTACAAACTGACCGCGCGAGCAAGCAGTTCAACGTGCGACGCGGCACCAATCAGGGCGACCCCTTGAGCTCGCTGCTCTTCAACGCGGTGCTTGAGGACATGTTCAGAGAGGTGAAGGACCAATGGTTCCGGCGTGGGCCTGGGATTCCGCTGGGCTTCACAGGCGTCACTTTCTTATCCAACCTGCGGTTCGCGGACGACGCGCTGCTCGTTGCAAAGTCTTATGCAAATTGGAAGCAGAAGCTGGGGGGCCTGATCTCTTCTGCCCCTGAAAGGGGTGTCTTTGCATCCAGGAAAAAACAAAGATAATGAGCAACCTCGCAAAGAGGACTGGCAGGATACCCCGCGAATGCATGGACGCATGCAGTTTGGAGATCGAGGTTTTACCGGCGAGCGGCAGCGCGAAGTATCTCGGAGAGAAACTGATTTTCGAAGACCCTGGCGGCGCAGAGCTGGACAACCGGATCTCGGCGGGCTGGAGAAAGGTCATGATCTATAAGGACGAGCTAACAAAGAAAGAGCATTCAATGCACGATCGCCTGAAACTTTTGGACACTGTGGTGAAGCCGACTGTTCTTTACGGGGTTGCTACTTGGGTAATGACGAGCCCATTGGAAAGCAGATTGCAATGCTGCCAGAGACGCATGTTACGCATGATCCTGGGGAGGGGGGGAGACAAGTCCAGACAAACACCGGTCTGGGCGACGCTGTCGAACCGTGGGTGGACTGGGCCAAGCGATCCACCAAAGAAGCAAGGTCAAAGATGGACGATTTGAACATGGATACCTGGGTCACGGCACAAAGGAGAATGAAATGGGCATGGGCGCAAAAAAAGTGCAACAGTCGTCGTCGAATACGCGGTCAAGGATTGTTGCAGAGTGGGGGCCTCAGTGCGCGCCGAGGTCTTAGGGACGACCCAGAGCACGTTGGTCTGATGATATTCAACAGCTCTTATCGTCGAAGGGGATCCAAGACGCATGGTACAAGTTCGCCGGGGATTGGAGTTCATTGGAGTCCGACTTCGTGCACAAGTACGACATGTGAGGGCTGCGGCCCCTGCGCCTTGCCCCCCGCGGGTCGGCCTTCTCGGCCTGACGCGGCGCGCCTCTCGCCCCCTCTCGCCTCTCACCCCCCCGCCCGCAACGTGCTGGCACAACTGAGTGGGCGTGATTGACATGGCCAGTGCAGTATTGTCAGCATATATCCCTCGAGAGGCGCGCCGTGGCGATGCTGATGCTGATGCTGATGATGATGATGATGATGATGATGATGGCTACGACGGTGATGCCGATGCCGACGATGATGAAGAATGAAGAAGATGCTGACACGCATGCTCGTGGGTTTACCACATCGCGGGGAACGCGCGAGGGAGCTCGGCAGTTTCTTCTGCAGCTGTCTGGGCCCAGGGCCCAAAGCGGCAGAGGCGGCGCGCCCCCCCCCCCCTCCGCGCCCCCGCGCGCGCGGCAGGCCACGCCGCCATGGACGGGGCGGAATGTCTTGCAGAGGGGGGGCGCGCCGCCAGGCTAGACCCCGGATTCCAGGTGTCCGCCCTTCGAGGTGTAGGTCGCCTTCGGGCAGGGGGCTAGGCGGTTGCCCGACCGCGGGCGGGGCGAGCGCGATCCGCCCGCGGGGCGGGAGACGGCGCGGGAATGACCATGAAGATGGGGCGACCTGCGTCCGTCTCTCCCCCTGGCGCTGAGGGACACGCCAATGGCCCCGCGCACAAGCGCCCCGCGGCTACTGGCGGACAGAGCGGCGGCCAGCCACCCATGAGAAACGTCGGAGTCGTGGGAAGCACAGACTTGCAGGGAGCGCGACGCGTGAATGCATCCCCGCGCTCGTCGACGACGAGGAGCCCCCACCCAGCCCCAAGCCTCTTCGGCATGGTGGCGGCACAGGCCAGGGCGCGGGCGCGGCCCGACGTGTGCCGCCCAGAGCCCTGGAAGACGAGTGACCAGGGTGACGAGTAGATCCCGATTGCCGCCGTGCGGGGCGGAGAGGTACTCGAGCACGGGGGTGAGCGTCGCGGCAGCCCTAGACACTGCGCGGTCGTCGCCAAGGGCGGTTCGTTCACGGCCGACGAGATGGACGGGTGTTTTTTGGAGGGCGATTCCCTGGACGTGGTGAAGGTGGCAGGCGCTGCCGCGCTGTCCTCAGTGCTGCGCGGTCCAGGGGGCGACGGGCTCTTGCGCGTCTGCGACGGCGACTGCGTTGACGCGGCGCCAGACAAGGGCAGAGAGCTGACCCACGTGGACTCGTGCCTCGTGCTGCCTGCTCCCCGACCTCGACGCCCCCCGCCCCGTTGTGCTGCTCCCCGTTGAGGGAAGACCGACTCCGCCTGGGGGGGGGGGCGAAACCCCGAGAGGTGACCCAGCGCGCGGGGCGGTGGTCTTTGCCGCGGA